AATTATCACTATCACAATCGATAATCGTTTTATCGAAGTCAAAAACCACCATTAATCCCTCCATTGCTCAAAAAAATTACCAAGAACAAATTCAAAAACTTTGAAGAATTTATAAGTTTTCCTTTTCTTCTAAATTTTGGTTGTGTTTAGTAAATCTAAAGGTCCCAAGTATTTATACTTTGAAAATTTACCCTAAGGAATATACTGTAGAATATTTTGATATTCTGAGGGTTATTCTAAATCGTTGGATGAGGTGTAACAATCGAATCCAAGGGTTAAAAATAGACGGTTTAATAAAGAATAAAGGAATTAATTAGGTGAATTAATTGAATGGGAATAGAAGATAAGTAAAATGCGCGGGAATATGAGGGAATATTCTTTTTGTTTTGAGGCAGATATCCTGATTTGAGTGGAACTATACCCGTTTTCCTAACAAGATTTAAAGAGGATAATAGAATATTCTTTGTTTTGTTCTGTGGAATATTGAGATTCTTCTTAGCGTTTTTTGTAAGGGTTTAACTTTGAGAATTTCTTTGTTCTTTCGTTACCTCCAAGGAATTTGTGCTCTTTAGTCTTTACTTTACCATCAAGGCATCAATTAAGTGACAATTCGAATGGACAATTCTGCTAAAAAAAAGGGAAAAAAAAAAAATATGATAATTCTACTATAGACATAATATAGAGCATGGATTTTTTGACCCAAAGTTATACTTGTAGGTATGTATTGCATCGGGTACCGTATGTCCAAATCTTACATACTCCGTCTCATTTTGTTAAAGTAGATTTTTAAATTAATACATCTGTAAAAAAAAGGATATTGTTATATGCAGCCATGCCCCTAAATACGCGAAGATTAATGTAGTTAATGTTTTTTTTAAGAAAATATCTTTACATCTTTTGACATTAATTCATTGATTTATACACATTTTTAGAAAAAAAAATTTAGTTTATCCTCGTGTGATGCACGGTTAGAATTAGTTTTTCTTGTAACTAGGGATTCTGGCGTGCGCGATGCGCGTTGTGGCTAGTCTTTGAAAAGGGTTTATATGGTTGGCCTTAATGAATTTGCATGATATTATTATAATTATTTGCATATAGACAAATGTGTTAGATTTTGTAATTGTGCAATATTTTTCGAAACTTTAGTAGAGTTAATTTAGATTTAGCGAGGAAGTGACAAAAATTATCCAGTTCTAGAAAGGTAAATGTTTAGATTTAGAAACGTACATGTTTGGTATACTATCTTCTTTTCTTTTATTTGAAGGCTGATATACTACTACCTAGGAGTACTTATTAGGGGAAAGGTACTAAACATTTTTATGAAAAAAAGAGCTTCTTAAACTTATAAATAGGGGTAAGTATGTAAACAAACATTTTAAGGGGTATAAATGTCCTCACACTATTAATAAGAGCTCTCTCATACTTTTTAAAAGGTAAGGAAGAAAAAAAGAGCCTATTAAACTTATAAATAGGGGTAAGTATGTAAACAAATATTTTTAAGGGGTATAAATGTCCTTACACTGTCCATAAGAGGATATTAGAATATTCTTGGTTTAATTTTGTTCTGTGGAATATATTGAAATTCTTCTTAGCGTTTTTTGTAAGGGTTTAACTTTAAGAATTTCGTTGTTCTTGTTCCGGATAGGACTCGACAACCCGTATCCAAGATCAGTGATGATCCTATCGTCCAGCTGAGCACCTACACAGGAAATAAGGATTAGCTAACCCCGAGGTGAATTCGGGGATAACCACTCCGATGATGAAGTCAGAAAGTGTTTAAGAAGAAGAAAAGGAAAAAGAAGAGAAGATATCAAGAAAGTGATTAAGAAAATAAGAGAGAGGGGGAGTAATAAAAAATGCCCCCTTTTTATGAAGACCCATATTTTCTATTTATAGAAGACCCACCTACCAGGTGGCTGCATGCCATGCACCTAACATTCGTGCCAAATGTTGACCGCCTGACACCACGTGTTGCTCGTTAAACGCCCGCTGACTGTGCCGTTATAGGAATTTGCCGACATATTCATTATGACTTGTAAAAGGAGCCCGTTGAGTCTGTGACAAAGATTGATATCGGCATTTATTTATATGTTATCGGTATCTTCCCGTATAGTTCTTTCGTTACCTTTAAGGAATTTGTGATCTTTACTTTACCATCAATTAAGTTATGATTTAAAATAAACAGAAGAATATGGATTTTTTTACCCAAAATTATACATGCAGTATGAATTATATCAGTATCATACTTCCAAATGTTACTTACTCCTTCACATTTTGTAATCACACTAGGTAGTACAATAGTGAGAATGAAAATTATAATGATACCGAACGGTCCTTTAATTAAATTTTGAACGGTGAATTTTTAAAACCAAAGATCAAATTTTGTTTACAACATTTGTTCTATGAAATCTCTCTACACCAAAATATATGGAAAAAAAAAAAAAAGTGTGAACATCAATAGCAATAAACCTTAGCCGTAGATCAAATATAAATTTATCAAGAATAACAATGGAAGTACATAGAATGTTGTATCAAGTATATGAAATTATTTACTATGAGCATTAGCTTTTACCAAACTTTCAATCAAAGTTTGTCCCAGAGGTAAGAATTTAGTGGTCTAAGCTCTAACCTTATTTTTTTTTTTTTTGGAAATGAGCTAGTAGACTTATTATTGCAAATCGAGTTCCATCAAAGTTTTGAGACTTTGAGGGAAAGAGTTTATACATATTGTCATACTGGTTTAGAACTACCCTTGGTATCCCATCTCGCTACTAGATAGGCTACAAAGTAGTTACTTACTCGTTTAACATACATGAGAAATAACAGAAGCATCAAAATCATTAGCTAGAGAACTAATGTCATCATAGATATTCTAACCTTAAAGTTGGAATCGGATAGAGATTTCTTTCTTGCCCCCTACCTACCTTAGGATGGTTCTGATTAAAAGGTTAATTATATATATTTTCTTAAAAAAACCTTTAGAAAAATTTGTAAAAAAAAACCTTTTAAATGCACCATTTTCCAAAATAAAAAAAAAAAAAAAAAACTTTTAAAAGTTTTATCATAAAAAAAAAAACCTGAAATTACAAATTTTTTGTTGGAGACAACCTATTGCCTCTAATTCACTTAATTAACCACTAATTTTTTCTAATTATATGCTCTCTAACTCTCACTAAACCATTTAATAATTAAATTAATTTATAAATAGAATAAAAAAAAAACCTACTCCCATCACTAGCCAGCCACCCCCTTTTCTCCCTCCCCTGGCAGCAGCTCCCTTCCTTTTCCCCTACCCCTATGACCCACCTCCACCGCCAAGGTTGTAACGGGGGTAAGGGGGAAAGGGAGGGGGGGGGGGGGCTAGTCGGCGGTGGAGGTGGGTCACCGGGGCTGGGGGGTTCAAGGCGGTTGCTGCCAGGGGAGGAGGAAAGGGAGAGGGGCTGTTGCTAGAGACGGGGGATTGGAAAGGGAGGGGGTGGCTGGCTGATGGTGGTTTTTAAAAAAAATAATAATTTAATTATTAAATGGTTAAGTGAAAGTTAGAGGGTAATTAGAAGAAATTAGTGGTTAATTAAGTGAATTAGAGCCACTAGATTGTCTTCACAAAATAAAATTGGAAAAATTGCATTAAATAATACGACCTTTACCCCATCCGTTAATAAAAAGTTGACCGTTTGTTTATTTCAAAATAATACGACCTTTAAGTGGTGTCCGCTTTAAACAAGTCATGACCTGTTGTTGACTTGATTAATAGGTATATGGGACACGTGTCAATGTTTAATTGGGTTAAAAAAAATTAATTTGTTTTTTTATTTAATATTTTATTTTTTAATAGGTAATAATATTGATTATTATTATTATTATTATTATTATTATTATTATTTTGTGGGAAGGGGGAAGGGAGTTCGGTGGTCAGCCACCGGAGCAGTAGCCCACAACGCCAGCCAAAACATTTCCGGCCGACGCACGAGTCCACGAAGCCGCCAGCCAGAAGTGGTGGTCGCAGCCAGGCCGAAAACCCACCACGACCATTTCCACAACAACAACAATAACAGCAGCGGCATCAACAACACCAAAACCACCACGCAACTCTCCACCACCAACCAGTCGCACCTCCGAAATCACCAAACATCGCAACTCTCCACCACCAACAATTCGCCACCCACACAGCCCCACAAATCGCATCAATTCGCACCCCAGTGCCACCCTTAAACTCCCTGAACACCGCGAAACCCTCGCCACCACCCAAAACACCAACCACCACAAACCCTCAACACCAGACCCACTAACCACAACAGCAACAACACTCACAAACCCCGACTCTCCCTCGCAACCAGCAGCGCCGCATCCCCTTCACCTTCACCACCGAAATCACCATCCCCTAGTTTCGGTTAGGGCGGTTTCGGGGCTGGGTTTTGGAAAGGGGGGTTTTCAAATCAATTTGGGGGTTTTGTGGGTGAATTGCGAGGCTCCGAAGAACTTGTTGCTAATTGGTGGTGCTGCGACGGCCGTTGGTGGTTGCGGTTAGGCTTTGCTGGCCGGAGCTTGCTGCTGCGTTGCATGGTGTGTTGAGTGGTGGGGGAGCAGTGGTAAGGGAGGAGGTGGTGGGCCTGATTTTTTTTTTTGTTTTTTTATTTAATTATTAATAAATCATAATTAAAGTTGTTATTAAGATTAATTACATTGTTAAATGAATTTATTAAAAAGAAAAAAAAAAATTAACCGGTTACTCAGGTTGTAGGTAAAATAACCTGTTTAAAGCGGAGTACCCTTAAAGGTCGTATTCTGAAATAAACAAAATATCAACTTGTTATTAGCGGATGGGGTAAATGTCGTATTATTTAATGCAATTTTTCCAATAAAATTTCATAATCGGGTTTTTTGCCAAAATGTTAAAAACCGGGCTTTCTTTTGCCAAAAAGGTTTAAAAAGATTTTTTTCGCAAAATGGTGTATTTAAATTAATTATTTTTTTTATTTTTTTAGTTTTCCTAAAAAAATTGTTTTAAAAAATAAACTTTGTTTTTTTAAGGGGAAAAAAGAAAAAATTACTTAATAAACTTCGAATTTCCAAATGCTAGTACTCGTACTCCGTACCCGAGTACTCCCTACTTCCCCAGTCCCTACTCCGTTAGTCCGCTGCGATCATACATCTAAAATTACAATCTCCAAAACCCTAGGAGAGAGATTTCCTAATTGCTCCAGATTATTCTTCTCGGAGAATAAAGCTCTGTAAGTTGACATCTTTTGTAATTCCCTTTTGATTTTCATCTTTTATTTAAGAATTTGTGTGATTGGGCATCAACCCATCCTGTTTACTAATTTTTCAAATTGACTTGATGTTCATCTTTCTGGGTTCTCGAATTCTATTAGTTACCCTTTTAATAAAAAAAAACTATCAATCAAAACCATTTGTCAATCAAAACTGCCCTGTTTGGCTGCTTGAAATCATTTGACACTGCATATTGTGCCTCTTTGTTGGTATTTGATGCTTGATTTCAATTGTAGGTGTTGGTGTTTTTAATTTGATTCTATTTGTTAAGGTCTTGTTTGGATTGGGGGTAATATATTAAGGGGTAATAAAAGTCAAACTTGAAAAAACATAAGTAATTAGAGGTGTTGTCGTAGGAGGCATGACGTTTGCAAATGAAATAAAGTAATTGTGCCACGAGGAAAAGAGAAAGATGGAGGAATTATTACCCTCATAATTAAGGTAATAGTTACCCACCCTGCCCCTAGTGTAACTATTACCCTCAAAATGAGGGAATTAGTTCCTCTTTTTCACCTCATACTACACCTATCACTACATAATTTTCCTTACAATCACACCATCACTATATCCTCCTTTCCTATTTTCACTTTTATTTTGCTTAGTTTGACTTTTATTACCCTAGTAATACATCTCCCCCAATCCAAACATGCCCTAAGAGTATGGTCTTTGAGGCATATTCCCAATTCCCTATCATATCTTGTATTTATGATTGCATTACTAATTTACTACATAGTGCTATGTAGTATGTACTATGATATGGATATGATTTCTGATTTTTCAAGTGTTCTGTAGACTTAGGGCGAACACGGGATATGTAGCACTGTTAAACTGCTCGGAAGAGCTGGCCTATTCGATCCGTTGTGTTATCACATGAGGTGGTATAGTGGTAAGGGAGGCTCATGAGACTGTAGCCAATGGGCACTGTGTTCATATAAGGGCTGGTTCCGTCGCTCAGATAATGCTTGGATTAAACCACTTGCAACTGCTGATGTCCGAAGTGGAAGGGTAATTGGGTAACTAGCTTGTTTATTTTCAGATCTCTTGGCCTCCACAGGTCTGTTGTCAAATTCAGTACAACATTTATATCAATTGTATAGTTTCATAGAGACAAACATATATTCTGGCATTTTAATGAATGATTATGATCACTGGTTTCTTGGGTCTTCTGTGTAGAAATTTGTTCTTTTCAATTGTCTGATATTTTATGCTATGCTTAATCATTGGCTTAACTCTTATATATGCTTGCCTTCTGTCATTTAATAGCATTTTCGAGGCTTTGTGATGCATTTGTGAAATATTCAATATGCCTTATGTTTAAGAAAAATTAGTGAATGTCACCATATGTCCATATGATAACAAGCATTTTGTTTGAATATAGGGAAATTCTCAACGGTACCCCTACACTAGTATTATATGGTAGATTTCTTCGGAAAAAAAAAGTATTATATGGTAGAATTAGGGTCATTTGTGGGAAACAACCTCAATGGGTTTCTACTTGTAGCCTTAACCTTTGCATCTATACATTATACGGAGTATTAGAATAATTGAAAAATTGTAGGTGTATATTTAATTGATGAGCTATTAGGTTCTCAAGTCGATTTAATTTGTATGAGTCGAGAAATTTTCGACTCAGTGTGGCTTAGGTCAGATAGGTGAATATGAAACCAGGGCTGAAAGTCCTGTGTTCCAAACCCAAACTTAATGAATATTGAATCTTTACTTTGCTTGATCTGGTTGTTTGAAGGCCTAGGTCCTGTAAACATACTACGTAATATCATCTAGGGTAAATCATATTTCTTTATTTCTCTCTCTAGGATCCTCCTTAATTCAAACTCTGGTAAACCATTGGCAATGAAGCACGAGGCCCACTTCATTTGTTGTATAAAGTGTGTAGAGAGCATAGGATGACTGAGAAATTGTGGTCAACTAGTCACCCAGAAATCCATAATGCCTCTCGAAGATTATAAATTAACTCTTCATACATCTCCACAAAAAGAATAGTAGATGCAATTATAATTCTTCACTAATACAAGTATGTAGTAATCTGTCATCACTTGGGGCTTTGGTTTGTTTCATGTTTATATGTGTACATTCACCTTAACATATGTATATATGCACAAGTACTTCAAATTTTTGATTTAATTTTCTGTAAAAGCTCCTTGTGCTTTGTCAGAATGGCAATTTTGTTTTTGGTTGTGGAATTATGCTTTTGATTTGTAGGATTAACATAGGATCATGAATAATACAGAACTGAATATCAGGGCTGTATGGGTGTGTACTTTTGTGCATAATTCTTTTTTCATGTCATGATTTAGTTCTCTAAAGCAAACCTTTGGATGATATATTTACTCCTTATACATTTATATTGGAGAAAAAACTAATTAGATTGTGTTGAGACGAAGTCAGAGATTTGTAGTTGCATCTGAAGACACTTATGATGCAGAAGCACTATGATAGGACAAAGAGCAAAATTCTATTTACATTTCATGATTACACTAGGTTTTAGGACAGGCATATCTCCTTGGCCCTTCAAATATCTGTCTTGTCCAATACAAATAATGAATACACATAATGGAAGAATGTAAACTACATCAGATCTTAATCTACCATCTTTGTCTGATTGGAGACTATAGGATTCACAAAGAAATTCTTTGTTCGAAAACCTAACTTGCCATTGAGAGCTTTAGCGGTGAGGCTTATGCATATCCTCTTAGTAAATTTGGTTTCGAGCATCTATGAAAATTGAAATAACAGCTAAACATACATATGCTACACTAACTGCAGTACGTGTTATGACTTTTCCTAATATTCACTGCAGCTGCTGTTTAAGGTTAGGCTATCTCTCTGGTATGCAAAGGAAGGAGGTTCCCCCTAGGTGCTGGAGAAAATTTCTGGCATAACCTTGCCCAATGAAAAACCAGTCCTAGTCCTATTATGGCATACATGGTATAGAGAGTGTAGTGTTGGGCTGAGCTAGGGAAGAGGAGGGACCCTAGTGATGTCAATGTTAGTGCCCCAAATATAATCATCATTTCTTGATAAACCTCTTGATAAGGCTTAGTGGTTGTTGTTGATGATGGTAAGGGTATTGTTGGAGGTAGAGGTTGTGATGGCGTAGGCATCAATGATGGTGGTGGCTGCGATGACAAAGATGATGGCGGTGGGGGTGAGGATGACAAAGAGTTTGTCAATGGTGGTGATGGTTTTAAGCAAGCAGTGCAGGCCCAACAATATAGCAAAAACCAAACAATAGAGACTAGAATAGTGTAAGGATTAGTGGAAAAGGGGGAAATTGCATGATCTCCTTGACTTTTCAACTGAAGCAAGCTAAGAAAGAATGTGGCTATGAAGTTAAAGATGGTGTTTAAGGCCTTTGGATCGAACGATTTTGGCTCAATAATTGGTGTTGGTTGATGCCCTTGATGGACGTTGTTGGGAGTCATGTTGGAGTTGGAAATTACTATCTGCTGGAAATTTGGCCGGTTTTGAGCACTTATTTGCTCCATCTTAGACTGAAAGGGTTGCTGTAGGAAGAGTGGGAGATTGTTGATGTTGGTTTTATGACGCTTTATTTTGTTTTGGGTAGACTTTATAGGTTATGTGACTTGGTAAATTTGGCGTTAATGTGGGCTCTACTTTAATTCCAGAAAGTCAGTCCACCATAGCTTGAAGCTTCCACCAAAAGCTTCCACTTGTGTCGTGGTCGGTTGTTACCATAGTATAAGACTTTTTATGTGAGAAGGGTTCTTTTATAAAAAAAAAGTTGACAAATTGAAACCTTAAAATGTATTAATTTTTGTGAAAAGGGACCAAGCTTTGACTTGATTTATTTGGTGTTGACCCTCGTATGCAGAGCATGTTGCCTCATTTTTATCTCTCAATCACCTCCCCAACTATCATGTTAACTATCATCCCACAACTAGCCCACCACCACTCGCCTGTCACCACCATATCAAAATCAAACTTCATCGTATTTGTTAGGAAATTAACGACAACTGATTGATTTAGGTAATGTGTTTGATATGCGTGGAACATAGAAAACAATATAAAAAACGCAAATTTGAGGAATAACGTAGAGAATAGATGAGATGAACACACATATTTACGTAGTTCGGTCAACATGACCTACGTCCACAGAGTAAGGTATATTATTTTCTTACTAGCTATCATGGAGGATAAACAAGAGATATAACCAAAGAAATACAACACTATTTATCTCATAAGATATCTCAAGCGGAGTTACATATCGGCTTGAATTGACTAGCTAATTTAATCAATATGAGCACTAATAGTTGTCCATCAAATAGCTCCTTATACAATATAAGGAATCCCTAAAGAAACCCTAAATCATCCCCCAACGAATAGCACTAGTAGCCGTCGTAAGCGTACTCAAAATTAGGAAGTAAAACGCCTTCGAAGGCACGGACGTGCTATGCAAGGCACGTTCGTGCTTTTTCCCCCACCTTCGACAGTTCTTCATAAAAAACAAACATAACTTTCTCGTTTCTTATCGAAATTGGGCATATGACCTATTGTTGGAAAGCTCTTGTTACAAACTATCACCTTCAGCTTGAATTACCTCGAGATATGTGCGTTTGAAATTGGCCCTTCGCCATTTCACTGGATTTCAAGTCTCAAATAACAGTATCCCCTACTTCTTCCCCTGCCTTATTTGCCCTTACTCCCTTTCCCTTTGCTTTATTCTCTCCCCTCCTCGATTGGACCCAATCTTATCCACCCCTTCACACTACCTGCTATAAATTGTCGTTGCTCAAGCACTGCCCATATCATGCCACCTATCATCGACCTATGTACAAATATATCTGATTTTCTCTCTCCTCCAATGCTAGGTTTGCAAATTGTTTGCATACACCAATGCTGTAACACCCTACAAATTCCTTTCTTTTAAAATACCTATTATGCCCTTATTAAAATACGAAATAGGAAAAATCTAAGGCATTGCCGCCACCGTGATAACGACTAAGGCATTTATCATAGACACACAGTGGAAGATATTTTCAAAAACCATTCAAAACAAACCAAGTTCAAAAGTTCAACTAAACGAAAGTAAAGTCAAACCAAAGTCAAACGAAGTCAACTTACAATTTGGAACCATTGTAAGCCCTTTCAAAACCAAATAAATATTTAAAACCAATGCGTTAGTCTCATCAAACAATAATAATAATCCAACAACAAATAATAATAATAATAATAATGCATATTCAAAACAAAACTAGAATATGATTTGCTTTTCACTCAAACCCCAATATGAATATGTCGCATCACTTGAAAAGCTTCTCTTTAAACTGTCCCTACTACTCGCCATTTGAAATGGGTCATCGTAGGCAAGATAAAGACAAGACTAAACAAACACACAATCAGCAATGATGAGTACATAAGCGTAAACGAATCACACTAACATGCTTACATCCTAGCATTACACAACTTACCTTGTTGCACTTGTTTACAAGCATACAACATACAACCCAAACAATAGATAATTCAATTGCTTATTTATTTGATTACGCATTGAACGGGTTTCCCACCAAATCTTTACCTCGAATAAATTGAGGTAAACTACATCGGGAGCTAACCGGGTAGGCAAAAATGTCACTTGTGAGTGACGGACGTCCTGCGCATAAAATAAAAGGAAAGTACAACATCCTATACTCCCAATAGAAGTTATGATCAAATATAAAGTAACATAACCCCCCCCATATGTTCATACTCGAGGTATATACATTCCAAGAGTTTTGGTACGTAATCTCTTTCACTTTACGTTGTTTACATATTTTAGACTTGGTGATAACTCTTAATCCACAACACAACCAATCCATACATGTCAATGAAGTAATCAAACATTTCAATTTAGTTCTTGAATATTTAGTGATCACATTTAATTTAATGTTGAATCCTTTCTAATTAAACAACATGAAAACACCTTAGTGCATAAGGGTGCACTCCATCCCATAAACAAGGTCGTAACCTTAGTGCATAAGGGTGCAATCCATCCCATCCTAACAAGGCATAAAACCTTAGTGCATAAGGGTGCACTCCATCCCGTTCATTATATATATAGCTCCTTGATTTCACCACAACATATTTCATTATTTCCTTACCTTTCGTGCATAAAGCACCGATAATATTTTATGAACCATATCAAAAA